CTCGAGGTCTGCGTTGTTTGTGGGTGCATAACATTGTATGATTGACACTTTCCTTCCTTTGGAGTTGAACCTGGCGGTCATTATCCTGGACGAAATCGCCTCCCATTGTATCAGGGCTTTCGTTGCCGTTGGTGACATCATGATAGCCACGCCCTCGGTGTGCGTGTGGTTATCTTCTGGGTGACCGGAGTAGATCACTGACTCACCTGTTGACAATTTGGTGAGTCCACTCCCATTCCATCTGCTCTCACATATTCCCAGCACTTGTATTCCGTATCTTTTCATCTCGTTGGCGATCTGGGCAGCTTTTCCAGTCTCGTACATAGTTCGGACGTTCCATGTTCCTACACAGACTTTTTCTTTTGGTGCAAAGAGGTTCATTTTGCTGAAGGTTCTGTAGCAATTTTGTTTACAGGGTGGGGTTGCTAGCCTCACGCCTGAGAAAAGAATGATTACATTAAGTAAAAGTTTAGAGAGAAGCAACTTTTTGGGTTGCTCCCCTCAAAATCAGAAAATAACGGACAAACAATGAGAACAACATCAACAAAGGAAACAGTTCACAGAAAAAAGGGCAAAAAGCGACGACAACTATACAATAAGACAACATGCAATATAGTTCAGTACAGTTAACTAAAATGATATCTTAACCATAAACTCACTGACTTGGAGCAACTTGAACATATAAATCCAACAATATATACAATTATAGATGTGTTTATGTTTAAAAATTCCACAAATCCAAACAGTGAGTTATGTGTATTATCTGTCAATAAGATTGTATTTTTTGGATTCAGTGTTCGAAAGGTTAATAATTGTGATAATTTCCGCAAACACTTTGCATAAAATTTTAGAGTAATAAGAGATTTTATTTATGACCAAAATGTAGCGTAATAGTCGAAAAGCGCGCTCAAGGTCAGAATAGAATATCATACACTAAAGACACTATCATTCGGTTAAATAACTAAATAATCTTTCATTTTAGACTTTTGAGTCGATTTTTATGTAATGTGAAATTTGAAACTAAGTGAAGATATTTCTACCTAAAGTTTACGTAGACGTAGATTTGTTAGATCTTTTTAAAACTTAGATTTTAAGCTGACAAAGAGTCTATAAAAATCAAATGGGTTCTTCACTGAAGGAAAATTATCTGGGCATCAGGCTGAGCAGAAATTACTAGGTAATCTCCTCAGCGAAACAATCAAAGGTTGGCGAATTCTTCTTTCATGTTAACTCCATCTGCAACTACCAGTTTGCATGTAAGTCGTAAGCACATACAGCAAATGAACATGAAGAAGTATTTCTAATCGAAAAGCTGAGTATATTTCAAAAAATTGTAGCTAAAAGTTACGAATATCTTTAACACTGGTTATCGTCTATCACCTCATAGATGACAACCACAAAATTGAGTTTTTAAAATCGTTCTAGATAATTAAAGCAAAAGTTATCCCTAGTTTGTTACATGTCCCTATAGTGGAAGCAACACACAAGTAAAACCAAACCTGTGGATTCAGAAGGAAAAATCTGTTGCTAATTTTTTCCCACTATGATGAAAGCTATGCCTTGTTGTTTTAATTGTATTTCCTTTAATTACTGGGGCCGTTTATTTCCTGATATGAATTTAAAACAGTGATATATATATATATATCACTGTACGTAGAGTGATCCACTGAAGGGTTCTACCAAATTTTGATGAATTCATTAAATCCTCGTATGATAACATTTGCTATTTGCTTTGCTTTAATCACATTTATTTTACATAGTGTCATTTCTATTTTCACCCACCTGGCATTTTGATATCTAGTTGACTTACTTTAATCGCTCAGATTTATTCAGATTATATTATCTTTCACGTGATTTGCTCTTTCATCTATGCTATTCTAGTTAGTGTTCAATTTCCTCTGACCCCTCTAGAATGTTTTAACTTTGCATATATATATATATATATATATATAACAACAGAAGACAAGGGCCAGGCAACAGATCGTTTTATTAGAGAAATCAGCATGTATTTATATATATTTCATGTACATTATTATAGCTTATTCAAGTAGACAAACACAGTCTTCTGATTGGTTGTTTCGGAGTTTCTTGGAAAGTGGAGCCATCTATCTGCGAATCATATTTGGCCACATTAAGTCTGTTGTGATTGGCTGTTGAATCAGCCTTGCTCATATTTTCTCACGGCCAATATTAGTGACCCAGACATTGACGTAGATTAGTGTTTACCAATTGGCTAGCAGCCTGCTCTCACCATATATATATATATATATATATATATATATATATATATATGTTAATCTTTCTTTTCATCCTTCCACGAACTTTATCACGTAATACTAATGTCCTCTTTCAAGTTAATTATAGGAAATACATGAATATTTTGTGTTTTCATACATTTATTCCCCTTAATGAATTTGAACAAAGCAAGAACTACAGTTTTAGCAGAATAAAATGGTACCATATACAAATGTTTTCAGGTTGCATGCAGCTGATGGGAATCAACAAAATAAAAAGTTTCATATTGTCCAGCTTTACTTTCTCTTTTCGCTATGTTCAAGTTCAACGGGCGTAGTAACTGTACAAAGTATTTGAAGGTGTTGCGTTGGAACTATTAGATAATTTAATATAGATTTCATCTGGTTTACGAAAGTTAGATGATTTTGTTTCACTAGTGTTATTCACTGGTTTTACCAGGCTTCCGTAAATGATACATATTCTCTTGTAACGATGACAGAGTGAATAATAGGCAGATAAAAAAAAAAGGCTTACACCGGCTTATACAAGTTTGGAAAAATTAAGCCATTGGGCTAAGGCAGATTATATATTACAATGAGACTGTACAACCTAGGAACCTGACTTTATGCAACTATTATAAATGGCTATTTCTCAGTTCGACTCTTCAAAGTACATAATATTTGTATACATTTTGATTTTGCATAAAAAGGAGAATTGTTCTCACCGCCCCCAGTTATCTTTCTTCAAATTAGAATCCAACCTTACAAATCATTGGTATTGTCATGTTGTCGCCGATATAACACAAAGGGGGACATCTTGACCAGTAAATTTTCCAGAACCATAGGATGTTAAAAAATCGTGCATTCTTTCCTTGATTCTGAAGTGTTTCTACAAAAGGGAAGCAGCATTGGTTTTTCCTAGTCACCAAAAGGTAACTTTTGAGTTAGTCAGTCGAATAGTCTAGTGGTACTGGCTTTTAATTAAGTGAATGTGTTTTACGTTCGTACTACTTGATGTGCAGTCCTCAAACCTTCATTTTCTCATTACAGCCAATTATTTAGCTATTGTACGGGATGTGTTTACTCAGCCGTACCCATCACAATTTCCAATCTTTCTGATTCCGTTTACCTCTATAAAAGTTATGCCTATGCAGGCTGTTATATGCAAAATTGTGCATTCATGATTTTATAATACTGTAGGAAATTTACTGGATGATTAATTCATGAGCTGCTGATGTGAATCAAGCAATGTACATTGTCTAGTTGAAACTTACATTTGGATACTTTGAAGAAGTCATTCAGAAATCATTGTATTAATGCAGATATCGGTTGGAGGATTTCATCATTAGCTGACATCAGTTAGAGAACCACTGAAAAACCTGGGTGTACTGGACATCTGTTTCGTCCTAGCTTGGGAGTCTTCATAGTACCCAGCCACCGGCGTTCGAACCAAAATCCCTGCAAAACCAATACTTGAAAAATAATGCGGATATATTTATAATTTGTCTTCAACATTATAGTATTAGCAGTTCTTTCGAGTTAGTTTGTTGTTTTTCTGTTGTCCATAGTGTTTTCCTTCCTGTGCATCACCACAGAATGCATTTATAACTGATTTAATAAACTAATAACATGCTAAGGGACTGCTTAGTTTGTAAGGATAGTCACAGTGAGACTATTTTAAGAGGATTCATATTCTGGAGACGAAGAAAGGAATAAGAAAATTTCATGTAGTAGGTGTGCGTATAATTGATTACTCAATTTTAGCCCTAGGTTTTGTGGTTTTATACCAACGCATAAATTTTGTTCCCCATTTCCTAATGACAGGCTCCTCACGCATGGTTTCACCCATAGTGTCACTTAACCTGCCCAAACGAAGAGGTTGCACTCTTTGGCGACAAACTTGGCCTACAGTCACGAAGCAGAAAATGTAATGAATACAACGGCAAAAGGAAGGATTTGTATATAAAAGCGTGAAATTTCGCCCCGTTTCCTGGAAAACCACTGTCACGTCCATGAAGGAAAATGTGCAGTTGGCGTCTGCATTCAAATAGGTATTCATCAAGAAGCAAAATGTATTTGTTCCTTTTAACGTCCTGACAAGTGCAACAGATACTTGGCATCATCTTTTGGCTAAAAATTAACAGTTGATTCGATGCTGATTAGCGACTTGTTTTGTGGAGGAAGTTACCAGTAAGTGTAGTGAGAAGTCGTAAGCAGCGGTGTCCACCAAGTCATGTAAGAGAACATTCACTCACCTATGACTGGTAGTTGCGCTATATATCGCATATTGGCAGAAGGTCGGATGCATGGGCAAATGAGTAGGGGCCCATTGAATGAATGGTATAAGAGGCCAGCTTGTAAATGGTAAAACTTGGGTTTGAGCCTCAGTAGGTGTGCATTGCAGAAGAGTCCTAAAATAGAACGAAGTGGTTGCCCAGTTCTCCCCGGTTCTCCAACTGATCTCACCTTATGATCAGACTTGTAGACAATGAAATCCCTGCAAACCAACACTCGATAATTTACATATATCAACAATTTATTTATTTGTTGAATAAAATAATTTTTTAAGGACAATATTTTCTTCAATATGATAATATCATAATTGTAATTAGGATTATCATTATTTCATTTGAATATCACACGATAAATAATTTACATTCACTTAGCAAGGGATTATCCAATCAGACTTTGACAAAAGTTTAAACCAATCAGTAATTTTTCCCATTCTGAAAATATATATTATGTATTTCAAATTCACTCAGAAATATTATGAGTTTTGTTTGAATTTATAGTAAATCTGCCATACGACATTAATTAACATTAGCGATGCGATTTCACATGATGGAATAAAGAATTCATTTCAGATAAACGATGCAACCTTTAACTCTATATTAGGTGAGTACAAATCGCAGAGGCTATTTCTATTTTCATCAGAATACAAATTTCTATTAACAGGAGTTTATTATAATGTTATTTAAATTCCTAAATTATATTTCATAATATGTCAAACAACTATATTTAAAGGTAACCCTATAAAGTATATTTAGACGTATGACTGTGAGTGCCTCATTTATTTTTCAATGTCTCTTAGAGCTCAGTTAGTGGAACATCTCTATGCTGATTTTGACAAAAAGTGATTCTCTTTTATGTGTGTATTTATGATAAGAGGACGTATTACAGTGTTATTTATGTATGGAATGAATTACATAAGTTGAATGAAAGCAATTCACCAGAGTATATTTATGCATATAATGTGGGTGTGATGATACTCTAGAGTCATGCTGTGATTAAAAGAAGCGGAACACTACCAATAGTTGATTATTCAACTAACTAATACATTTTGTCGCAATACAACGGAATAATAAATTTGATTTGATTTTTTTTAAAGGAATATTTACGTAGTTTTCAAACAGACAAAGCGCGCTTTAGGTTGAGTGTGAAATAGAATAAATGAAGCGGCAATTTTAAATTACCATCGCATTTAGACAACAAAAAACAAATTGTCTTGCTGTTTATTATTAATGCTATTATCGTCATTATCACTTTCAACTAGATATTATATGATGCATATTACGTTTATGGGGTATATATGTACATATATATGTAATCCTAGTTCGTTTTTACTTTTACTCAGTATCTCTTCTGATTGTTAAGGTATATTTTTACTTTAATTGAAATTTATTCAATCATTTTGTAAAACCAGCATATTACCAGCCGTATTACACAATACTTCCACATAATTTGGATTTCGTTTGAGGTTCACTCTGAAATTATATACGTAAATCGCGTGAAAACCTGACACTCTTAGGACATATATATATATATCCGTTACCCAAGTATATGGAAATAAATTTTATTGCATTCAAATATAAAATAAATACTAAATATGAATAAAACCGTACAACTTCACAACTAAAGTCTTATCTACTGTTTTAAGAACATATTTCATACTTGAATCGATAAACTTCAGATACTATCAACAAATCATTGGTTTCTGTGAGTGTCCCGATCGGTATGTTTCAGCCTTTTCTCTTGTAAAGCGAAAAATAGTAGTGGGTTATGACTGCAGCTCACTGCTATTATATACCTTATTCATACCTTGTCCAAGATTCAACTATGTCTGCACAGCTACTGATATTCATTACCTTATTGAACTCAGTATTCTTTGACATTTGATGCTGAAGAGGATTTAGGATTTTAAGGAGGCGGGAAAGTATTTAGCAGTTATTATTATTATTTCTTTTGCGTATTAATGGAACATGGGCTTAAGCAACTCATTTTAATTTATCCTATTATCTGCAGTCCTTCTTAGCTGACTTCATTATTGCCCATAAATTTCCATTTCTCCCTCCCCACACACACACATGTTAGCCTCATATAAAACTGATTACAATGTTCGCTGTGTATGAACGAATTAGTTATTGCTTGAACAAAATGCAGAAGATGGGTGTATTTACAAATTTCTCTATCAACATGAGTGGGTGAATTTAATTTTTCAAGTATTGGTTTTGTAGGGATTTTCTTTAATTGCATGGAGGATTTCATCATGAGCTGACATCAGTTAGAGCAGCAGGTACAGCAAATTGAAGATGACGCAGTAATTCATCAAAGAAGACACTGCAAAATGGTCTCGCTATGTCGTGAATTGGTAGAAGTCACAATTCATGGACTGGCCAACGGATCGGGTCCCAGTGGCTCAATGGTCTAGGAGCATGTCTTGTAACCAGAAGGTCCTGGTTCGAACCGTGGTAGGTGCGTACTGCTGAAGATTCCTAAAATAGAACGAAGTGGTTGCCCAGTACTCCCAGGTTTTCCAATGGTTCTCTAACTGATGTCAGCTAATTATGAAATCCTCCATGCAATTTTAGTTTTCATCTGCTATTCGATCAACTCTACGATTGGGATATATGTGTGTGTAAATCGTTGGTTCACTGTTAGAATACCCCACAATCTTGCATGTCGTCCAAGTTAGACTACCGGCCAAAGCACTTCTAAACCAGATTTAGCTGACAGTAAATTCGATAGAGAGGGATGGTTGGGAGTGAAGCTAGCATTCACACCCTTTGAGTACAATAACTCCTCCGCTAAAACTTCAAAGCTCAAGTATGGACCCTTATGTTTCCCTCAGCATGCAAAGGATTGAAAAGAATAAAAACACAGGATAAGCCCGATCATTTCTTATTATGTGATTAGTCTAGTAATTGGACAACACTTTGAAAATGATTTAATAAAGAATAACTATTAGCATTTTAAGTCAAACCAGTGTATCTATATCACCTTGCACAGCCCTTATATGACGTAAGGACATCTAAGACTTAAATTATTTGTTATTCATAAATCATGGTAAGCCACTGACCTCTAATCTGTTTATTGTAAAATAATAGATATGTTTTAAATTCGAGTTGAAAAATACTTGACAATTTCATGAATGACTTTAACTGTTATGAGAATTTCTAAAATAAATACACAAACACACGTAAGAATTGATCTGTTCAATTAGGCTATCAATGTAAGAAGCAGAAATAGCACAGGAAAATTGGACAACCCAGTTAACTGTCTAAATATGTGACAGAATAAACTTTTAAGAAACTAAAGGTTGAATGAACAAATCTATTCGTCAAACTGCAATTTAAAAATTCTACTGGGACTAAACAAAATATTTTAAAGTTGATTTATTCGCTTGACCTCGTGATTTACACGAAGCTAACAAATATCTAGCTGTAGGTGAACGTGAAACTCTGGTTCCGGTTATGTTAAACTCATGTTTTCAAAAAAGAAATTAATTATTCAAGACTGTCCCGCAACTTTTTGAATGTTTATTCATTCACTTCGTTTGCCCTACCGTTCATAGAAGTCACCCTTGTGTTATTCAGTATGTTTTGTTTGCGAAGTGGATTTGTTGCTACGGCATTTTACATCTTTCTTGACAAATAATTTTAGAAACTGTGTTAAAGTCTAATGATTTATGACAGAAATAACATTTGAGTCTGTGCTTGTGGTTCAGCTTTAGAATGTTTTATGGTTTTTCACTACTGCCTATGAACAAAATAAACTGAAAATTCCAACTTGATATACAAAGGCCGGCAAATGTTAATGCAAAAAGTTGATTTCAGCCAAAAATAAACGGGACAGAAGTTTGTGACAAAGTAGCCATGTAAGAGGTACTGTAAAGAATTAAATGTTTAAAATAAGCATTATAAGACAATGTGTTTAACGTACTTATACTTGTTGAATTCGATCAGTACTGACTCTATGCATAAAAGATAAATTACTAATTGTAGATACATTTCAGAATCTATGTAAATTTAAATGCCGCTATCAGGTATCCGGAGGAACTTGTTCTCATTATGGGTAAATTTTGTTTTGATAAAGTCTCACAGTGTTATACAGTAATGTTTACTGATGACGTTTCAAGCACAATTTATTGCTCATAATCATATCAAGGTACTCACACGACTTCCTAAATTGATTTATATAGTTCCATTATTTTTCACTTGATTTTCGCTTGCAATGCATTCATTAACACACAAACACACAGTAGGATGGGAGAGAGTTAAAATTCTAAAAAGTAATCTAGGGAGGTGGAGAGAGAGAGGTTGATTACTGAATCCTTGATCATCGAGTCTACACCCAACACATGCAATAGGAATGATTCATCACTTATACCTGAAATATGTAAAATACTACTACCAACAAAACCAAGCGAAAATCAGGTGAAAAATAATGGAACTATATAAATGAAGTTAGGAAGTCGTGTGAGTACTTGGTATGATTATGAGCAATAAACTGTGCTCAAAATGTCATCAGTAAACATTACTGTATAACACTGTGAAACTTTATCAAAACAAAATTTACCCATAATGGAATTACACTCTATCACAGTGCACAAGTTTCATTCTTATATCAATGAAACATGTTACCACATATCTTTGAGAATGTGATAGCTTGCGTAATAAATGAAGTGAGCTAATCAATTAATGCATCGGTAGTTCAGCTGTTGAGCGCTCGCCGAACACTCAAGTGGTCCAGGGTACGGTCCCAGGCCGTAACACTCCTAAGCCCTACTTAGTCTGTAGTAAGTCAGGTAAAGAGGGAAGGTTGGACGTGAGGTTAGAAGCTCCAACCAGTAAAATCAAAACAACTGTTACCGAAACTGCAAAGCTCAAGCTTGAAGCTTAGAACGTAAAGGGACTGCAACTGCATTACTGAAGCCATGAAAACCTGTAGAAGTGGGAACTTTGATCATTCATAAAATCAGCTGTTGTGTAATCTTATTATTCCCTCTACAAAAGAGTTTCCTTACACAATCTACGTTACTGATATACTCACTGACACTAAACGATTTATAGTAATGCTTTTAGCATCCAGTATTAGTCATAATTTACAGTATCTATCATCCTATTCTGTAAGGTGTTTTAAAAGTGAATCTAATCCCAAAGATTATAACTCATCCCAAGAAAATTGTATTTACGTTAATGCAAATTCAACAAAGTGCACACTAGATTTTTATTATTTTATGTCCAAACAACTAAACTTATTACTAACTACATAATAACAGCAATACTTTTATGATTTCTCCTATGATCATGACTGGACATTGTAAGACAATACTTTGATCTTTGTAACTTTATATTCTACAAAAAGATTTATTGAAGGTAGTTCTCTAAAGTGACTGTTAATTATCGTACATATGCACTTATGTAGCATTTCCAACTACAAATTTCGTATCACATGATACTATATGGTAGCAAGCAGTTTTTGCCTGCATATTAAAACAACAGCTTCTCTAATGACATGAGGAAAGGAAAAAAGAACAATATAAGCCAAGAAATCTCTTCTTGCTGCCTATTTTTAAAGTATGTCTAGAGTAATGTTGAACGATCAGTTCAAGAAAC